AAAGTCATTGCTCTACTGAATGTCCAGTCTCAAGCCAATAAGTCTTTTGTTGTCGGCCTGTTCTTTAAAGCCCTTCACTGGTTACCTGTGTCTTCTAAGATTTATTTAACCCTTGTGTGGTGTTGGTGTGTCTGTTACTCAGTGGTCTGGTGGACCCATCACATTACTGTTTTATAAACAAATACAGCCAAAACAATTTATGTAAAAAATACCAGATGTTTAAAATATCACAAGTGTCCAGCGTAGGGCTCTCCTTTAGCAGCTGGCTTTAGTAGCCAGTCAGCAGCCTGTCCACGTTGTCCACCCTCACACACACACACACATATACAAACACACATGCACACACACACACGCACACACACACACACACACACACACACACGCACACACACACACACAGACACACACACACTAACAGCAGGCCATGTAGGAGGAGAACAGAGTGAAGGACACAGCACCTCCACACTTTTATTCCCCACAGGTTCATCCAACACCACATGTGTAATATAAATGTGTGGGGGGTGAACAGAGTGAAGACACTGAAAATGTGTTATTTTATATGTTCTTCACAGAAAATGAGCAAAGAACAAGAATCTGAGGTTGAAATAATAATAAATCACATCATTTTTTCTTTTGGTAAATTTATTTATTTTAATATGTTTAATATATTATATATGTTTAATATATTTAAATGTATTCATGGCCTTGATTCTCCCTTCTGCAGAGATATGATTATTAGATGTCCCAGTTAGATGACTAAGATCTTTAAACTCTAACCTGATTGCCATCCCTAAACTCAGCTAAAAGTGGGGAGAATAACTGACACATTTTTACAATTTTTCAAAACTGATCCTGTTTTTATTCTGTTTTTATTGCACAGTGGACTGTATTCCTATGTTGTATTCTGTCACATACTGTAAAGCACTTTGTTAAGTTGTGTTGAAAAGAGCTATATAAAGATGATGATGATGATGATGATTATTATTTTTATTTTTATTTTTTTTTTTAGGTAAGTGTGTGATATAGAAAAAGCTATATTAATATTTTGCAGTCTGCACAATAATGAATGGTGCTCTCGTAGTTTGGTTAGTTTGTAAGTTAGTTATTCTGTATATTTTTTCCACAGGTCTCATAATGTCACATATTTATATTCATATATTTATAATGTAAATTCAGTTTTATTTAACATTACATTTTATGTTCATGTCGAGCTGCACTAGTGTGCAGAGATGGATGCTGCATGCTTTTGTGATTAGCTAGAATTTTGTCAACAAATAAAAAACAATGTATGGATGCTCAGACAGCCATGAGAGGTATCAGATGGTTTAGCATCAGATGGTTTGTGTTGAAGGCAGGGTTTCACAGCCCGAGACTAACTGAAATACATCAAAAATGCTGGCAGTACATTATTTGCTATTTATTTAGTACAGTAAGTATCTAGTATTTAGTAAGTAAATATGTAGTACTAGTAATTTTCTAATCCATACTTTATATGTACATAAAAACCAGGCATGTACAGCAGTACTTCATTAGCAAGTAGTAAATATGTAGGACTTACAAGTAATGATTGGTGCATACTTTGCAAGTACAATATATAAGTAGTATAGTGAAGTAATTACTGTACCTACCTGGTATGTTTCGTATGTTACTATGTACAAAGTATTACTTTTAAAATTACTTGTAAGAACTTCATATTTACCTATTAAATCATCACTGTCAGAATAAAACCTTGCATATCCAAAATGTTCACTTTTCAGGAGAAAGATTAAAACTTTTTTACTTACAATGGAAGTTAATCTAAAAAAGATTCTTGTAAGTTATTTTGGAGATCTTCTTTTATGAGCCCATTCATCATAAAATTGTTGCACAATGCCAAGGCTTATGGCAACTGATGACTAGTTGGGCAGTAGAAATTCATAGTCCCTATTGCTGATCAGCCTCTCTTTTTGGCTGTCAGAGTTGTAGGAGAATTTAAAATATGCATTACCGTCATCCAAACTAATCACTGATCATTCATTTTAAAATTCGTTTCTTATTTGACTAATTGAGTTTAAGACCTATTAATAAATAAACCTTACAATAATAATATTACTCAAAGGTTAGAGTCAGACATTCGCCCTGAATTTGATATCCAGACTGTAATAAGAGGGTGAAATGGTAAAAAGGATTCAACCATACACAGCACTGAATGACCCAATAATGGCCCAGTGCACATGTGGGCCACTCCAGCAGGCACATTTCATCCGAGTATCTAGTGCATAACTGACTCATTCAAAATGCATGACTTGGATGTTGGTGAGCGAGGACAGAAGAGTCAGCAAATCCTCAGTTTTCCTCTGACTCTGTGAAAAATAACCCTTGCAACAGCACTTGCTCACCCCTAGATGGCAGTATAGCACCACAAAAGACTCACTATTGCAAGAAGGTCAGTGAAAGAGATTGTGATGTGAGTGGTGTTTGCTTGCCCTTTCCTTATTGCCACAGCACATCATGAAGTTAATGACGCAGTGAAGTGTGTTGAGATTTAAAAGTCACTCAAATATTACGGACACTTTTACGGACTACGGCCGAAACGGCTGCGAACGGCTGCAGCCTAGCAATCTGGCCTGTTTGGCCACTCGACGGACTTGTCTGCGCAAGACGAAACTAAAGTCAACTCTGAGTCATTGCAGAAAAGTCCTGCAGTATGACTTTTTAAAGTTTCATCTCGCTTGCAGGACGTGTTCATCATTCTCTTTGAGCCATACATCGAAAATGACAGCTACCTGTCAATGTATTGAGCGAGTCAATCTTCTGTACAGCGGGCTCAAGGAGTCTTGTCAGACTCACTCAGGAGTGATCTTCAGAAGTGTCGGCCCTACGACCGTCGTCATTTCTCCGCACTTTGGGGGCTGTGGTGGGCTGCAGTACAGGCCCACTTTTAAAGGAATAGTGTGGTGGAAAAAATCAAATTTGCACAATTTTCCCCTTACGTGAAGTTGAGTGGTAGATCAGCCAAGACATGTTTGTTGTTCTGGACACTGTATGACATACAGTTGACTAAAATTGATATAAATATGGGCAAATTCAAACTTTGAAATGGCTGCTAATACTGTTCTTAGCTATGCAACATCCACGTGTCCATTGTTGTAGGAAACAGTGTGTCACCCCGTGTCAGGAACCATATGAGCAGGTCTAGTCGAGATTACTTAACGACTTGTCAAGTTCAGTTTCAGGCAAGTGTGTGATGATTTATGCATATAATTTGCACAGTGGTAGCTGGTGCTTTGTGCCGTTGTTCTGCGGCACACCCATATTAGGAGCTCCAGGTCTAGGCAGTTCTCTATGTGTAAAATTGCAGCTATTGTGCTTTGTGGTAAACAAAAATGTTCCAAACCCAAAACATTTTGCCATATTGACATGTTTCCTCTGAATGTTGCTGGATCTTCTGTATTATGAGGTCATTAAGGAACTACATGCTAGCTCACACTGCTGCGCATGGAACTGATCATCATACACTGGCATACTTCCCAAAATACCCCACACAGACCAGCAAGCTTTGTCAAATGTGGCTGTTAGGTTCCTTTGGCAGTGGCAGCCTTCAGTTTGAGTTGCTGGTGTTAGAATAATAGCAGACTTACATGTGTGCAGAAGCGCTAGCTTGCTTATAGCATATATGTTGCATTATTTGCATTGTTTACTCCTAAACAATCTCGTGAATCCGAGGATACAGTGACATTTGGGTTAAATGTGCACAGGACAAAACATATTGTGTTTTAGGCAGTTTGTTTACCACTGGGGGTTACAGCTAAGACTCAGGCCCTGTTTATTCAAATCTGGATATTTTCGATAATGTAGTCTTTTGGCTTCAACATGAAAATGGCATTTTTGGTCACTGTAAACTGATATTTTTGAAAATGCTCTTCTGGGAGGAATTGAAAATGCTGTTAAATGTGTGGACAGGAAAATGCTGCTTTCTCAATACTGTGACACAGCGCCATTATCTTGCCTGTAGTTGTTTTAATTTATTAAGCATGAAGAACTCTGTCTGAAATATAACTGACGACTGGGTTGTTTCTGTGTGCTTGGCAATTTAGCAGCTGATAATATGTTTGCAATTTGGCTTTACTGTTTCATTAAAACATGTGGAGGCGTCAGAATGAACTGTGCTCAGTTCCCGTAAATGGGGTGTATAACTTTGACTGCAAATATTAAAAATAACTACATGATTGTAAAATTATTTGACTTGAAAAGCTAGAAAAATTCAGCGTTTCAGGACTGTGTGGATGTTTTCTTTCACTTTTTAAGTTTTTATTTTCTAGTAAAATCAGACTTATTGATGTGTGTAAGTCTGAAGGCCTGCAGGTCTTCAGTGTTTGTAACATGCCACCACTTTATCAGAAAAGCTCTGTTTTAGCTTCACAGCGTGCTCAATGATGAGGACAGTGCGCACGCTCAGTGTTTTTCTTGAGGTGAGTGACATCAAAATTTTAGGGCTATTATTGCCCCCTACTGGCCTGGAATGTTTTTCTGCTCTCGTGTGGATGTAGAGATTTTCAAAAATGTTGGTGTGGACAAAGAGTTTTTAAAAATATTTGGACACGTGGACAAGGCCTTAAAGTTCCTGGTACAGGCATGATGCTGACTACAGAATGACGCACAAGTTCAAAGTGACTGACCACATTTGGGGACACATGACCACATAAGTGGGAAAATCATCTAAACTGAATTCTGTCTACTATTTTAAAAACTATTCTGTCCCTAAAACTGTTTTTCAACATGCACCTACAGATCCACTTAGGCCTGCAGAGCTAAGGACAACTGAATACATTTACAGTCTCTAATTGCATGACGCCCTTTAAGTAAGCGATACTGCTTTTTATAGCAAGTTTATTAGATCTAGATGAAGAGCGGGGGATACTGGAGCAGTGATAACAGTGTGTAATTGACTTCAGTCTGAACATGGAGATCTGCTCATACTCTTTGTCTAAGATGCTCAGAAAGTGGATGTAAATACTCACACATGGGCTTGAGCTGGCTGATGAGCTCCTCCTTCGTCCATTTGGCCCACTCTTTCTTATCCGTGTTAATAGAGCAGAGGATAGGCCCACACGGCTTTCCGCAATCCTCTATGGCCGGCACGTTCAGGTAGTGGACCAGCACGATGTCCGGGTTCTGGAAAGAGAGACGGAGAGCATGAAGTGTAGGAAACAGAGAGAGGGAAAGACAGAGAGACAGTGAGAGAGAGAAGGAGGGAATGCTTCAGTGATGAGATGAAAGAGTGAGCGTAACAAGACGGGAAAGAGGAGGAGGCCAGTCAAAGGAGACAAAAGTGAGAGGAAATTGAAAAGGAAGGAAGACAGCGATAGGTCAAGGTTGTTACTTAATAAAGAGTGTGAAAGAAATTCCTTTTCTCATTGGTCCACAGCTAGAAGAGTCGGAGGACTCCCGATGAATAAAACATCTCCCTCTTCTTGGAAGATGCACTGAAAGGCTTTTTTTCTGAGCTTGTCTGACACCGACTGCGCAGCGGCAGAAAGTGAAATTAACCCACGCAATGACATCTCCAGAAAAAAAACTCGTAAATCTGAGGAGTCAGAAATACGCTGGCGGATGGAAAAGCTTTAAACGTTGGGCCTGCGAGTTGTTTTTGTGATTGGTGGCAAGAAGGTGGGAGTTGTTAATTGGCAACCATGCACTGCCACGCAACACACTCTCACACACACACACACACACACACCGCCTCTCCCAGGAACTGATGCCCTCAATTAACTTCAAAGTATTTACAAACTCTGAACCGCCACCATTCATACCGGGGCAGAATTACAGCAATAAATTACCTTAATTGACAGCGTATGAGTAATAGGTATTGCTTGGAGCGCATTGAGCTAGCATGGGGCTGAATCGACTGCGTGGAGGGGATGTGGGTAGCTTTGGGGACCGCAGCGATCTGGCTACAAACACTTTCAAATGAGTAATCAAACTAATTCTCTCACCCAAGGATACTCAAAGGAAACGGACCTATTGACTCTTATTTACTCTGTAGACCTAAGAGGCCCTCCCAGATCAACTCTGCAGTGACTACGCTATATAAGATCTATGAAACAACTTTAGTTTAGGGGGGAAGACCATGCCTGGAGCTCCTCCATCCCCCTGTCTAACCTTCCATATATTCCATCTCTAGCTTCTGTTTCTTGTGACAGCTTTGGCATCCCACCACCTACCCATCTCCTCCTTATTCTTCAGTCTTATCTCTTGGTTCTTTAAAAGGGGGTCATGACTTCTAGCGAAAAGCAGATCTAACCAGAGCTCCAGCTCCAGCTCTGACCCTTCCTACAATCTAGAGAGAAGTCTTCAACTCCAGCACTGGAAACCAGTCTCCAGTCCAGTTACTTGAAGTATTGATGTAACTGGCTACCTACTGTCACGCCTACCAGTGAAATTACAAAAGACTACAGCCTTACAAAAGTCTGATTGTAGCATGACAAGATTCTGTTCCAATCTCACTGTAGTCTAAACTATTTAAAATAAGGTAAAAGTAAGGAGAAAAACTAAAGCAGAAAATCTTTTAGGCCCAATCCCCATTTCTTATCTTTACCCCTACCCCTGGTTCTCGAGTGTCACTGTGCCCCTTGGAACTGAGTTACAAGGGATAAAGGTTGAAATCTTCCCCTATGAAATGGGACCCTCAAATAAAAAAGAACATTACTTCATTAACAGTTACTAGCGCTGCTCTGTAGGAGACCCTGCCAGTCTGCAGTGATAGCAGAGGAGGGTGAAGTTCAGTTCCTCACTGCTGGGCTTTAGTTACATTTAGGGCATCATGTGCTTCTAAAGAGGGGATGCAACAATTATTTATTATCACCCTCCCCTAATTTTTCTGTCATATGAAGCTGAAGTCAGATAGTCACCAGCTACTTGTTCAAATTTTCTCATTCCGTTTAAGGTGGAACATGACATTTAGCTAACTAGCCACCAAGACATCAGCAAACTACTAGCAATTTTTTATGCTTGTTATGAGGAAAAGGACCATAATACATTAAAGTGACATTAAACTAAGATAATACAATGATTATTGTAATTCTTTAACGAAGAAAATACTCACAGCCATCTTGCTGGTTTTTCTTTTTTTCTCATAACACTCTGTTTGGAGTGAGTCTCTGAAAAAGCTCAGCGTAGCCCTAACACTTCGCCCTACCCCTCTATCTCAACAAAAATCACAGCACCCTACCCTAGACGCGAACGCACAAAACTGAGGGGTAAGGGCTGAGTGGTAGGGCGAGGAGTGAAATGGGATTGAGCCTTAAAGTTGGGAGAGGGACTGTGAGAAACCTGTGAGATATTTGAAACTGACCTGAGCAAATATTTGAGAAATGACGTCTGAACCCAACCAAAACCTGAAACATACTGTCGGGTTCGGCTTGAAATGTTTTAAAATCCCTCCTCATTCTGCAGCTTCATACTGAACAGTCTGAACTCACAAAATGCACTCCAGCCTGTACTACAGAGAGGTGTCATTTCCATGTCATTTGGTGGAAATAGCTGGAGCAGAGTGCACTGCAGAATTGCTCCTAGTTTTGAGATGAGATTTTGTGAGTAGGTCTGTTGGTCTGTTCTGACACACACGCACAAACAGAAAAAGGTCGGAAACAAATGATTATTCCTATGATCGATTAACCTATCAATTATTACTTGATTAATCAACTAATCTAACCATTATGCTTCCTTCAGCTGTTCTCTTTTTACAACAGAAGACCCATCTCAGCCTACACTTCCTGTAGTTTACTGCAATCAGAATGATCACATGTATCATATGAACATTACAGAGTACAATCTTAAACATAAGGTTTCCTAAATGGTCCTTGCCTGTATGTACTATGAATAATTTTTAATAGAGGCTTTCTTACTGCACAAAACTTTAATCTTTACATTAATGCAGATTCTTTAAATAATAAAAAAAATAAAAGGTTCTTCACCCTTGCACACCTCATTTACAAAAATGGTTCTTTAAAGAACTACCCATTAAATGGTTCTGTAGCATCAATCCAAAAAACCCAACATAGTTAATGGTGTGTCGTTGACACCATTCTAATGCTGATAGTTGGCTTCAAGCTGTTCCACAATGAGAAATGACACACCAAATGAGCCAGTATGAACAGAGAACATCAAACAGTCTGAACCAGTGTGAAAGAAGAACATTCTAGAACACTATGGATGCCAGACAACATTCAAGAGCATGTATGAACAAGGGAGAACCTACTACAGTGTAAATGGACAAGAACATTTGAGAACAGTGCAAATGGGGAGAACATTTGAGAACAGTGTGGATGGGGAGGAACATGAATAGGGAGAAAACAATTCTATACCAGTTTGAATGGGCAGAACATTGTAGAACAGTGCTAACAGGGGAGAATATTCTAGAGCACTGTGAATGGAGAGAACGTTTTAGAACACTGTGAATAGAATAGAACACTCTAGAACAGTGTGAATGTGAGAGAAAATTCTAGAACAGTGTAAATGAGAACTAGAACCATGAGAATAGGGGAGAACCTTGTAGAACAGTGTAAATGGGAACATTGTAGAACAGTGCTAATGGGGATGATAATCTAGAGCACTGTAAATGGAGGGAACATTTTAGCACTTTGTGAATAGAACATTCTACAACAGTGTAAATGGGGATTTTGAGAACCAGTGTGAACAAGAGAGAACATTCTAGAACAGTGTGAACATGGGAGAACATTTTAGAACAGTGTAAATGGGGAGAATGTTCTAGAACCATGAGAACAGAGGAGAACATTCTAAAACAGTGTGAATGGAACCGGACATTATATAACAGTGTAAACTTTGGAGAACATTTTAGGACAGTGTGAATGGAGAGAATATTCTAGAACTGTGTGAACGGGGAGAATGTTCTAGGTCAGTGTGAACCTTCTGGAGGCTCTCGACAATCACACACAGGTTATGGCCCGACAGCCGTACGTCTGGCTTGGTGGTGTTTGGAAAAGCGCTGGGTCGTTCTGCTCTGGCCTTAACGCTCACAGTCCACAGTCTGTAGGTCCTGATAGAGAGATGGGCTGGAGCAGCGGTTCGAGTCATATCTGAAGCTTTGTCAATAGTAAGTGGTCGATAAATTCTCCCTGGTGCTGGTGTGTGCAGCCTCCCCGCCTACTCCATCAATCTACTCCTGCTATCTCTCTCTCTCCCTGTCTCTCTCTCTCTTTCCCTCACACACAAATGAACAAACAAAAACGTCTTTGAAGCTTGACCGCACAACAGATACAGGAAGTACAGCATTTACAATCTTAAAATGATTGTTTTTAATTGGTTGATAAAGGTGTGGTTCAGGATGCAACTACATTTACAATAAATTTAGTTTTTGCTTCAGAAAGTTTGTAGGTTGAATAACCAATGGCAGCTGTGGCATCTTTAAAATAACCCCTTAACCCTTGTGTGGTGTTGCCTGTGGGACCCATTTCCAATGTTTACCAAAAGAAAAAATGATGTGTTTTATTATTATTTCAACCTCAGATTCCTTGGCCTTTGCTCACTTTCTGTGAAGAACATTTATATTACACATGTGGTGTTGGGTTGAACCTGTGGGGAATAAAAGTGTGGAGGTGCTGTGTCCTTCACTCTGTTCTCCTCCTAAATTACCTGCTGTTAGTGTGTATGTGTGTGTGTGTGTGTGTGTGTGTGTGTGTGTGAAGGTGGACAACATGGACAGGTTGCTGACTGGCTACAGCCGCTACAGGAGAACCCTATGCTGGCCACTTGTGATATTTTAAATATCTGGTGTTTTTACAAAATTTGTTATGGCTATATTGATTTAAAAAAAACAATAATGCGGTGGGTCCACCAGACCACTGAGTAACAAACACACCAACACCACACACGGGTTAAAATGTAAAGAACTGTCAGCAGTGCCTCATACAACTATGCAAAACAAATATTAGTTTTAGAGGGGCTCTCTAGTCAAAATGAACATTTAACCATCAATACATCTGTAAACTCACCTACTTGCCTCCAAAAGTGATCACACAGTAGCCTCTAGAGTGAGATTTTCCAGTTTAAAGACTAGGAAACCCCCTTCTGATGACATATTATGAAGATATCTTGAAGTATCTTTTTCTGCTAGTTGGCCTAAGCAGACGGAAGCCAGGTGACTAATGTTTATT